GTGAAATGATAGATGCATTAATTAGTTTGATTATGGTAAATATTTTGCAATGTGTATTAAACTATTATGTTGTACGCTTGATATACAATTTTGTCAATTATATTTCAACAAAACTGGAAAAACAAAGCAAAGCAAGGATAGCAGAGTTTTTAAAAATCAATGGAAGAAAATGGCGCTGAGGCAGTTGTTAAGGCCCCCTGATGTGCTAGTATTAACCCATTACTTGCTGGATCTGGGTTCCTTGAGGATGAGACAGGGCTGCCAGTGTTGGAAGGGTACTGGGGCCTTGGGGACACAGGCTGTTTGCCTACAAGTACAAACAGATTTCAATATTTTAAAAACTGGTACAGGGCACCTGGGTGAATCAGTTGGCTAATGGTCCAAATCTTGATTTCAGCTCAGGTCATGATCTCATGGTTCGTGGGGCTGAGCCCTGCACTGGGCTCTATGCTGACAGTGCAGAACCTGCTTGGGATTCTTTCTCTCTCTCTGTGCCCCTCCCCCACTCATTCTCCCTTTCTCTCTAAAATAAATAAATACCCTTAAAAATATTTTTTTAAAAAGCTGGTACGGTTGCACAGAAGCAGACAGGCTGAATCTCTGTTCTAAGCAGAAGGGAGCTCAGAGGTCTCTAGCAAAGATGTGCTGAGATGCTTGAAAATCCATGGATGATGAAGAGATAACTGAGTAGTGTACAGGTAAGCTGGACAGAGGTGGAGGGGAAATTGTGGAGCTGCAGGCCTGCCCTTTTCTGGCTGAGCTAAGCTTCAGTGACCTCATGTGCAACATGGAGGTAACAGTACCCGCTCTGAAAGAATCCAATGAGAAAACCATGTGCCATTGCTTACCACACCCTGTTTGCTAAGTGGCAGACGTTGTTGATGTTTGTATCATCATCATCATCATCATCATCATCATCATCACCATCAATATCACCATTAGAAAAAACACTGGACAAAAGAACGCGGGATCTAGCTCATTCCTGCCATTACCCGTGTGGCTCTGGACAAGTCGACCACTCTGACCAAAGTTTTCAGGGTATGAAAATGTGAATTTTCTGAGAAACAGGCCCATATTTTATTTGATTCTCAAAAAGAGTCAAAAACCACTGATTTTCAAATTCTATATTTTCAAAAGGCTTACTATTCACTTCAAATATCTAGAAACAAATGGTCTCAGCCTATATTAGGATAAATCATACTCATTATCACTACTCTGTTGCCCTTTATTCTAAAGTTCACCAAATTTATTTTGTATTTTCCTCAAGAAAAAATGTGTTACTTCATTGTTTCAAATGTCGCCCTCAATATTATTATTTGAATATAAATCACAATACACTGTTTTCAAATTTTAAACTTTATTTCAAATACTTAAACATAAAATTGTTCACAAAAACAATATTCATATTAATAAGGAGTAAAAATATTAAAATCCAAAAGTAAGTATTGCAATACATAGTTTGTTTAATTTGAAAACATTTGATAGGGAAACACAGGTAAGCTGCATCAGATAAAATTCCATTGCATCCTGGCACCTGAACTTTCCCTAAAACACAAAAAGGAAAGCTCTTGGAAGCCATTAAGCAGACTTTATGATTATTTGTCAAGAAAATAAAGTGAAGTGCCATTCATACAAAAATCTTACCAAAAATGATTTCTGAGGTATATTTATGTAGATTACTATAGTTAAAGAGAAAAAATGAAATAGAATAAAATATCCACCCTTACTTAAAACAATGAAAGTAAACTTACTTAAAACACCCTTACTTCTTAACAATGAAAGAACAGACCATCTCCCAGTCAACGACTGAAGACACATACACATCAGTGAAAAATCATTTGCATCCAAATGGTGATTTGTTCCTCTCAAACACCACTGGCTTACAAACCCTACTAGTCCCCGGAATTTGAATTCTGTTTGATGTAATGCGAGACCTACATACTCAACCAACAAAATCTTTATCTTCGTCTCTATATTGTGAAAACAAATTGAGGCAAAACTAAACTCCAGCTCACCTGGAAGGAAAACACATCTTTTCTCCTGCTCTTGCTTCTCAGTGCGTGTTTATTAATCCCAGAGCACTTTTTGACCTCACCCCACCACTCATCAGTTTTCATCAGCCATTACCACTGGTCCCTGCAGCGCGCCTCCGTGGGTTGACAGGAAAACTTGTAGAATCAGGTTTCACTGGAGAAAAATGCATTGCACTTCTGAAGTCCCAGTCTACACTCCAAAAAAAAAAAAAAAAAAAAAAAAAAAAAAAAAAAATACAAAATGCTCTGTTCAGTGTGGTGAATTTCCCTGGAGAATGTGCGTGCATTTACAATGGGCATTGTCAAAAATAAAACTCCAGTATAAAACCAGGTCTTCGATATTGCAGTCTCAACACTGAGGGCTCAAACAACCAGAGGCAGCATTTCTACATATTGAAACTCCTGCGGCCAGATGTTCCTGGGGTTTATCAAAATGTGATCTGATTAAGAGATTATTGGGAAGGTTGTGCTATAAATCATGCTGTTAGTCACATGCATTCAAAATAGATCCCGCAATGCTAGAAAGGAGAATTTAATATCAGAAAGTATTTACAGTGCCACCAATCAAGTAACAGAGTGGAAATGGGGGGGGGGGGAATCTGCAAATAACCAGCACCAGCATGCCTCAGGAAATGAATGATTACATAAATTTAGCTGTTTATTAGCGCAGAGACATGCTGTAAGGATTAAATGGGATGAAGGGTAGGGGTGGCTCAGAAGCCCATTAGTTTACAAAATACAAAACTCAACATTCTCCAGAAAAACAAAAACAATTAAAATCTGTATATATTTTTGACAACTAAATTACGAATATTTTTGCAATTTATATATATGCTATATATAAAAAGCAAGGAAGACTGCTGTATTTTTTAGTGGAAAATTCAGGGCTCAAACCCTGCAAAAGCACTAAATGCACGTCATTTAGGATAATGTCACTGACACACGTTTGACAACTAAATTACACAGCTCTTTGATATACTGTGTATGAAGAGTGGCAATTATGGCCAATAAAATCAAAGAAAGGGAAAAAACCTAATTAACACTAACATATCATTATGACTCACTAGCATATAAAATCCCATGCCTGCTCTAAATTGCCAGCAATTGGCAATTCTCAAATTCCTAAGGATGAAGACAATAGTTTCCAAATAACCGGAGCCACCAGAGATTTGGGGGCCTCTTGGGGGCATTAGCATTCCCTTCTATCAAAGAGCTCAAAGCACAATAATGACTTGTAAAACCCACTCATCTCTGCTCCTAAGAATTATAAACTGTAGTGCGATTAGTTCTGGATCCTAAACAAATAATGATACCGCCTTATAAAAAGAAAAAAAAGATGGTGGTTAATTTTTGTGGTGGAAGGAACATGGAATTTGGAAACAAAATGCCTGAGTTCAAATTCCAGATCAGATATTTACTATCACAGTAACTTCAGGCAGATCGTTTAACCCTCCATCAAATGGGAATAATAACAATATCCACCCACACAGGGTTGTTGTGAGGAAAAATGAGGCAAAATGAATGTGAAAATATTCAAAAGTGGCCAAAAAAAACCCACAAAAAAAACCCCAAAAAACCCACTCTACAAATGTTAACTCTTCCTCTTTACTACGAGCAGGATTCATCTAAACAGAGCAGGTGTGAAAAGTACAGAGGTATCCTGCTATGAAAATCTGAATACACTAAAAGTAAACTGATCTTGGGGTATCTGGGTGGTTCAGTCAGTTAAGCATCCAACTCTTGATTTTGGCTCAGGTTATGATCTCCCAGTGGCAAGATCAAGCCTCATGTCAGGCTCTGCACTGGGCGTGAAGCTTGCTTGGGTCTCTCTCTCTCTCTCTCTCTCTCTCTCTCTGCCACTCCACTGTTTGTGCTGTCTCTCAAAAAATAAAAACAAAAATAAATGATAAAAAAGTAAACTGGTCTTAATAGAAAGAGTAACACATTGCAGAGGGAAAGACTCCATGAAATCTGGATTTAGTAAAATTGACCCCGGTTTCACATGGAGAAAATCTGGCAGAAATTTTTCAGTAAAACATTAGATCTGTTTTTATACAGTAAGTAAACCCAGATTTTAAAAGACTTCAAGATTATATAGAAAAGCATTGGAGACTCTAATTGAAATTAAAAAGTAAAAATAAAAATCATATTTGGCTACTGATAGATAAGAAAAATGTATTATCAGAAGATTTCATGACTAACTGTAGCTAACAGTTTTATTCTTTCAACTTTATTATTGAAAAATTCATGGTGGCAGATGACCCCCTAAGCCCCTTAAGGTCACTCGACATTGACATCATTGAGACTCAGAAGAAGGCTGATTTTCCAAAAATTTTCTGGATGTAGGGTATTTCTGCATAAAGATACCAAATGAGAAAATGCACTGAGCACTTTGTAAAGGTCACCATGCCATACAAGTGTAAGATGTTATTATCAGAGAAATCTGAAAAGCTTTTAAAGATTTTTGAATCCTGTGGAATAAGCCAAGATCTGTGAAATTTATAAAATAAAGAATTCTACAGAAATGGTATTTAAAAAAAAACACTTATATCTCAATACAAAGAATAATAAATTGAGGGGGTGGGGAATGCAAACCACAAGACAAATCCCTTTCCTGACTTCCCTGGCTATTTCTTTGACAACCTTAGCTTTGATTTTCCACGGCACTCAGTCACACACGCACATCTTTGTTCATCTCTGGGCCCCTGCAGTTACTCCTGTTCTGAGTTATTGAGCTTCCAAATAACTGATTTCTCCTGTTGCTTTCCTGAACTCCCTAAATGGCTCAAGCACTCAGCTCATCAGTTATCCATTGCTGACATGGATTCGGCACCTCTGGCCTCTCCAATCTACCACTGCTCGGGTGGTGAAGCCCCACACACAGAAGTGAAGGGTGTCAGGAGAAGGTCTCAGTGCAACCCAGAAGAAAACTTATTTGCAAAACCAACACAAAGGCGGCTGTTCTGCTTAAAAATCCATCGAATCTTGAGTTTCCAGAGAGTCCTCTAGGCCTATTGGGTCCCCCACGCCTGGCTGCGAGTTTAAGGTAAACCCAGAGTTTCTATACGCGTTATGAGCGTCCATAAACTTCTGCAGATATTTGGAGGTATACAACCAGTGATGTTTCAAGACATCTTCCATCTCGTAGCACTTGGACTGTCTGGCATTCATTTTTCGGAAGCGCCTGAACAGTTTGTTGCCAGATTCATTTCCCTCGCTTGCCCATGCCCCAATGGAGCCGTCTCTCTCAATAATTTCAGGCACGTGTGCCAAGGTTTTGTGAAAGTAATTGGTGATTTTGCCCTCATATCTATACTTGAACTTGGTAGAGAGGAGCTCAGCAAAACGCTGTGAATTGAAACTATACTGGCAGAGGGATTCTGGGCACTCTTTAGCAGGACATGTCGATCGCCACACGGGTTTCATCTTCAGGTAAAGGTCCATCAGCTCCCTGAGAGCTTCATGCCTCTCCTCAGAGGGGATTAATTCACAGACTGCTTCAACTGTTTCTTTGGTCATGAGCCTCCTGGCAAAGTTGCCATTCATCCTCATGATTGGCTTCAGGTTCATCTTCTTCCGGAGATGCTTGTCCAGCGTAGCCTGCCACCTTTTCCTTTCCTCTTTGGAGGCATTGGGATTCTTGTACACCTCCCCTATCTCTAGCTGGAAAATCTTGTAGAACTCAGCCGCATTGCCAATGTCACAGTGGAGTGCATCTATGGAAGGGACGGTCTCAATGAAAGGTTTCGATGAGACTCCTTTCACGCGATCCCGCAGTTCTTCCACAGACTCGTGGTACGGGTTGGAACGCCAGACCTCGTAGCGCTCCAGGTTCTCAGAGTGGCTTCTGGTTATGGAGTGGAAGACAAGATTTTGAGAGGCCTCCAGGCGGGTGGCATCACAAAGGGTACAAATGTAGACTGAGCCAGAAGCCTCGAGGCCTTCAACTTCCCGGACAAGCTTCTCATCGTACCCAGTGCCCCTGAAGATGAACTTGAAAGTCCGAACGATGCCTCCCATCTCCAGCACTAAGTTGCTGGCCTTCATGGCCTCCCTCTCGGCAATGAGAGGGCTCAAGATGGCCGTCAGCGTCTCGTGGTCAGACTCGTCTGCCAGCATGAGGCACAAGGGCTTGCAACACAGTTCAGAGTTAGGTTTGACCTCCTCAAATACCTTCACGTTTTCTGAGCCGTGCGCTACGGTAATCTTCATGACTGTGAACGAAAAGCGAACCGCCTTTTCTGGAACTGCTGGCCCGCTCCCATGCTTCTCACTCACATCTCCCATGCCGTCACAAGACTCCTTCACCACAACAGTGAAGGGGCCATTCAGGTAGTCATCCAAGTCTTGGGCTCTCATGCCTTCCAGGATATCTTCTTCCATGTCCATCAAAGCAGACACCAAAGCCGAGTCGTAGCGGAACCGCTTGGCAATGGTGTCCACCGGGTAATCGTCCACAGAGGAGGACAGTCCAGACAGGCCATCAATAATGCCGACGTCAGTGCTGGAAGACACGTTCTTCAGAGGTGGCTGCCACTCAAAGGGGTAGTAGCCTGGCAGGAGGACCTTCTCAGCATTCCGAAGGGCGTGCAAAGGCTGAAAAATCTGCCTCCCCGTGATGGCTTTCACAGTCCTGTACATCTTGTGGTACTGACTGCAGCTGAGGAAGGTGTTGACACGGATGGCCAAGCACACAGCTGGCTGCAGGCCAGAGCCCCGTCCCTGCATGATGGCCTCCAGCTCGTCGGCTTGTCTGTGCTCATTCCTTGCCCTCAGTGCCAGCAGGAACAAGATCAGACACACAGACTTCACATCTCCACCTTCTTCCTTGTCGGCGAAAGCCTTCACTTGCAGCTTGAGCTCCCTCAGGCGATGCTTCTGAGCCCTTCGCGTCAGGGACAGGAGATGCTGGCGGGGCCGACCCCCTTTATTAATATGCACAAAAGTCTCTTTTGACTCCTTGTGGCTTGAGACATGGTGGTTATATTTTTCCAAGCTGACCTCCTCATTGCACTCTTTTGCTGGACATCTCACCATCAGGGAGTTCAAGATGCTCACAAAGGACTTCACTGGACTCTCCAGGTCGGTAGGGAAGCAGGGATATTGGCAACAGGGACAATAGCTGCCCATGACTTTGAGGCACCTGAGAATGCAAATCCTGCAAAATACGTGCTTACAGCTGGTCTCCACAGGGTCAGCCAGGATGTGTTCACAAATCTGGCAGGAGATAGATTTCACAAAGTGTGCCGGGAAGTCCACCGCGAGAAGCTTGGTACTAAGATGAATGTCACTGCACTTGGAGATCTTCTTCATCACTTCCTTGCTGCTGATCCTTGCCCGAGCTCTTTTCTTGTGCCGACGGGCTCTTCTCGCTCGGTCAACCACGGTTTTGAGTTTTTTGCTGAGCTGCACGTTTGGCTGATGGCTCTTCCTTTTGAGTCCCCGGCGGGCAGCGCGGCAGATGTCACAGGATGGCGTGTGGGGATGCCACTCCATGGGTGCATTCCTTGGGAAGTTAACTTCACACGGGGCACTGCTAAACTTCCTGTACATGATGTTCCAGCAGCTGTGGCAGAATTCAGTGGGGTGGATCGAGTCAACGTCTGCTTTCACATCAATCCGGAAAACCTTGGCAATGAGGTCTGGCCAGGAAGTGGCTCTCTTTTCCTTCTTTCGTAAAAGGACTTGGGTTTTACCATCCACTGGCCCATGCACTGGATAGCTCCTATTGTGCCCATCAGTTTTAAAAGAATTCCCACAGATACGGCAGAGATGGCGAAGGTTGGCTTGGTGGATTGCTTTGTCTCCTACTTTCCCATCATCATGGGATTTCTTCGAAAACGTAGGGTGAGCTTTTAATGCCGGTTGACTCGGGGCTGGCTTCTGACCATCAGCCTCATCCAGGACTGCTGGAGATTGCTCCAGAGAGGGTTTCCCCTCGGAGGAAATTTTCTTTTCTATTTGAGCTTCTTCAGGTGCCTTTTCAAAAGATCTCACCCTGAAGAGCTTAAATTTCCATTCTGAAAATTTCATATGCGGGTGCTGAATTTCATCTGGGGCGGAACTGAGTCCCAGGGCGGGTGGCAAAGAGACAGCCATGATGGCTGAGTTACCTGAGAACAATGGAAATAAGTCAGATTAAGACAAAAAATTCAATATCCCACTGATGCATCTTGGAAGAAATAGGAATGAATACATTCAATTGTTCATTCATTCACTGATGCAAAAAGTTACTTCTCCAACCTCCCATTTTAATACACTATGTTAGGTGCTGAGCATACAGCAGAGGACAGTCATTCCCTGCCTTGACAGTGCACGTGGTCGTTTACACCACCATGCACCACATGGTTTGTGTTACATAGATATGTACACTCTTACTTCTTTCCACCAAAACCTTAAGGTTTTTGAGGACAGAATCTCTGAGTAATTCATTTCTGTCTCTCCAACATTCCTAATACACTTCCTAGTGCAATTCCTAGTATTAGGGTTGAATAGTTATTTGCTGAAGAAATACAAGGAAAAACTGGCTAGTGAAACCACGGAAAAGTCATATTTTCTGCATTGTATTAGCCTCATTGCACTAGCTGGACGATATATTTCCAGCTTTTTAAAGCAGTCTCCCAGGAGGTTGGTTGTTTATTTCTTCTAAACAGGCCATAAAGGGATGATAAAGCTACAAACCCAAAGAAACTAATTACTCACTACTTGAAAGAATGAAGTGAATTTTGAAGCATTATGAATGCTAGCTAATAATAAGTATCATGGATAGTAATTATGCTTACAATTTTAATTAGTGAACACTGCTGTAAATTATAAGGGCTGTGTCTCTATTAGAAACAAAAAACCACAGAACTTTAAACCTGCAACAAACCATAGGGTGCACGTACAAACATTCCAAAGGGCTTTTAAGATGAAAAATTCAAGTAGTTTCAGATAAAAATCACATAGGCCATCCTGGAAGTCATTACTGGACAATGGACATTAGCTTTATAGTTTGTAATAAGAAGAGGTGGAATAAGATTTTTCTTCTGATAAAAAAATATTAGCAATTGCATGTGCCAGGAATCCCTACCGATTGGTGTCAGTGTAGACACCAATCATGCTGTAGATAAAAATCTGAAAATGTCATTTGAGTCCTCTCCAGATCCAAACAACCTACTATTCTTAAAATTCCTTGGTACACATCACTGGAAAAATAGCAACTATATTTCAACCTATCATCTCTCTCCCAAATTTGCCTACCTTAACACTCTTGACCCATCAATTATATCAAGCAACACATTCCCCCCCGACTTCTCAGTTAATTAGCTAACAAAATTGATGATATTTTTATATAATCATGTGGTCATGGAGACTAATCCTCAGAGGAAAGAGCCGGGGTGGGATCTGTGGGGAAGGAGGGACAAGTGCTAATCCTAACTGCTGCTAACAAAGTTTCTTCTTGAGTCATCCCTTTAAACTACTGAAGTTTATTCCATCTGGCATGCACTAGGCTTCGGGGATTGATGTTTTTCATGAAAACATGATCAAAAAGGAAATCCTGTGAAATTGTAGGACTGTGTGAGATCTGAACACAGGACTGTGTGAGATCTGTACAATTTCAACCATCTCAAAAGTCTCATGAACCTCAGAAGTATCTCAACTGCAGCCCAACAAACACCTCAACATTGCTTATGGTTCAGTTATGTTTCTAAATTCTGTCCTATGTCAGGTGTGAAGGCCTTCCAGGTCTCCCCTGTCCCATTGGCTGGAACTCTTTCCCAAATGCCTTTTCATTCCATTAGCCTTTTCCTACCCAGTCTTTTTCTAACATGCTTGTTGTCTGGATTTCCAAGATAATATTTTGAGGTGTTATTTAAAAAAGGGGGGGTGGGGCGCCTGGGTGGCACAGTCGGTTAAGCGTCCAACCTCAGCCAGGTCACGATCTCGCGGTCCGGGAGTTCGAGCCGCCAGTCAGTGCTCTGGATCTGATGGCTCAGAGCCTGAGCCTGTTTCCTCATTCTTCTGTGTTCTCCCTCTGACCCTCCCCTGCGTATGCTCATGTCTCTGTCCCAAAAAATAAATAAATGTCGAAAAAAAAAATTTAAAAAAAAAAAAGGGAAAGCCTGGGTGGCTCAGTCAGTTAAGCGTCTGACTTCGGCTCAGGTTATGATCTCACAGTCCTGAGTTCTCGAGCTCCCTAGCCAGGCTCTGTGCTGACAGCTCAGAGCCTGGAGCCTGCTTTAGATTCTGTGTCTCCCTCTCTCTCTGCCCCTCCCCTGCTCATGCTCTCTCTCTCTGTCTCAAAAATAAATAAAAACATTAAAAAAAATTAAAAAAAAAAAACAACTGCATCACCATCTCTGGAGCTAAATAATGAGCTTCCACAATGAGTAAGTCAACCACAAGGCTTATTGGAAGGATCCTGAGAACTATCTCCCCTCCCTGCCCACTCCTCTCCTGACACCCACTGGCTGGAAATGTGATCTGCCAAAATACATTCCTTTAAATACTCCCAGAGAAAGAGTACTATCCCAACCAATTATTAGCCATTGACATTCAAATCAAATGTATTTGCTATTTTGTCTTTCAACTCAACTGCTAAAACTTTATCCAAACAAAAAGCAAGAAGAGGGTGGAAGGGATGTGTTATGCTTTTTGTTTTGAGGGAATATACATCAAGATGCTAATCGTGGCGATCTGTGGGAGCTGTAAATGTTTCATATTTTTCATGCATGCCTATGATCTCTACTTTTTCTGAAATAAACATTTATTACTTTTACAAGAAGATAGAACTTTTAATAACTAGACCTAATGAGGTATTTTTTTAATCTATATGGTTAGCAAAGATTAAAACTATCATTACTCAGCATTAATGAAGGTGTGGGGAAATGCAAATATCTTCATACATTCTTTGGAGAAGTATAAATTGGTATAATACCCCTAGTGGACAATTTAGCAATGTTTTTTAGAAGTTTAAATATAGTGGGCTCCTGGGTGACTCAGTTGTTAAGCATTTGACTTCAGCTCAGGTCACCATCTCACAGTCTGTGAGTTCGAGTCCCACATCGGGTGAGCACGAGCCCAACTTAGGGTGAGCGTGAGCCCTGGATGAGCCACGGTCCCCACCCCCTTATCTCTCTGCCCCTCGCTCACTTGTATCCTCTCTCTCAAAAGAAAAAAAAAAAGTTTAAATATATTTGATCGTTGGTGCAATAAATTTGCTTTTAGGAAGTTATTCTATAGATATATTCCCACAGGCTATTCCTTGTGTGGGAATAAACATTCCACAGGTTATTCCCACAGTGAATATTACATGGAGAAAGACAGAGTGACAGAAAGAGATTTGTTTAAAAAAATTGTTACCTTAGAAGAGAGGCAGCAGCATAAATAATCACCCCTAGGGCATTATTAAGTAAACTATGGTCCAGATATACAGTGGAAAACAACACAGACGTCTAACATTTCCATATGCATTAGTGCATATGTGTGATTTCTATATGCCTCAACGATACAGAAGGATACCCACACAACAAAGCAGAGAACGGACAACAAGAACAAGTGTAGTAAGATTCCATGTAGGCACATTTGCTCAGACCTGGAAGTGCAAACATTCTGGGAGGATATGCACTAAAATCTTAACAACATCTACTCTAAAAATGGAATGACACTGGTGAGAAGGTATCTTTAATTTCCTATTTTATTCATTCTTACACCATTTTAGTTTTTCACAACAGACGTGTATTATTTTTTTAATTTTGTGATCAGTTCACTTTAGGGGAAAATCTTTTAATGACTAGATTTATATGTACCCATAGTCATTTTAATTTCTTCCTAAATTCTCCCCTCTCCTCACCGAATTTTAAGACCTGGCTAAGCCTCAAATCTGACCAGCATCCTTTCCTTTCCTTTTTTTTTTTTTTTTTTCCTGGTAAACATATAGAAAGGGAACCAAAATATGGACCTATAGACAGCATGAAGTTAGCATGATGAACGAGTTATCGTGTAGTCATTATTTGACCCTCAGGAATCTTGTAAACGCTTGATCTCCTCTCTTCTAAAAAAAAGGTCTCAGCAGCAGACCAACCTTAGAATCTAAAAGGCAAAGTGACTGTTGGTGGCCCAGCCCCGTTCCCACCTCAGTGTTGCCATCACCTGCCATCACAGCTGTGGGGGCTTTGTCAACACAGGGCACAGATTCATTTTGACAAACCAGGGCAGAAGCTACGGTTTGGTGAGTGTGTGATTAGCGACTTCAGGAGGCTGGGTCACAGCAGCAGCCCCGCCCCCGACTCCCCGCCCAACCCCTACCCTGCACACACCTACATCCTAGCACTTGACTCACAGTCTCCCCTCTTCCCATCTTCAACTTAGTCTCTACACAATGTCCAAGTGACCACTGCGTGCCCAAGTGTGACCCCTCATTGTCACACCCACCCCACTCATTCATCCGTTCGTTCACTCCACAAATACTATTTCCTGCTTTTTGCCAAACACCATCATCAAAAAGTTGACAACGTCCACAGCCTTTTTATAAGTCTTAGGCATCCACAACATGACCCTAAGATTCTTGCCCTTCTTCCAGGCAACTGCTTGCTTGAACGACTTCAGAAAGAGAAGGGCACTGTCACAACCCCCTGGTCAGGAATCCTGGTTCAAGAACATAACCTCTGTGTAGGGTCTCTACAGTGGCAATTCCCAAAATTATTGGGTATTAGAATCACTGGGGAGCTTGCTTTTAAATTTTTATGCAGATCATCAGGTTCCAGAGATTCTGATTCAGTTTATCTGGGATGGAGTCCAGAAAATGCATTTGTTAAGCATTTCGGTGATCCTGCTATGAGGAGTCCATGGGTCACACTTTGAGAAAAACTGGACTGCTACTTCATCCAATCTAGTTCAGGAAATTCCTGGCAATACCTGGAAATACCTGGGAAACTACACATTTCCTCCCACCCTGGACTCTGTTTGCTGATGATCATGCCTAGACAAGCACAGTATTCCTTTCCAAGAGTCACAGCTTTCCTTCTGCTGATTTATTTACTCATTCATTCAGGAAGCGCTCCTTAAAGCCTTTCTCTGCCCACAATATTCATTTCCAGTAATTTGGATATCTGTGC